AGGCGTGATGAGAGCGCTGGACGCGTGGAGCGAGGAGGCTTGAGGCGTGGCGGCTGGCGCGTGGAGTGAGCTTGGTGGCGTGGAGCGTGGATGCGTGGCGGCGTGGTGGCGTGGCGGCGTTCAGGCTGGAGGCATAGCCGGTAGGCGGCGTGGCGGCAAGGTGGCGATGGAGGCGTGCGGCTTGGCGTGGCCATGTGGCGTGCGGACGATAGGTTGCGAGCGTGGACGCTTGGACGTGGCGGCACGCGAGTGGCGAGGAGCGTGAGCTTGGCGTCGTGTGGCTAGCGGCGGTGGCGGCGAGCGGCGAGAGGCGTATGGCCGTCGCCTGCGCGGGTGCGTAGAGGGAGCTATGGCTGCGTGCGGGAAGGCGGAAGCCCGTGGTGCGTAGGAGGCGAGTTGGCGAGCGGATTGGCGGCAGAGCAGGCGGCAGCGGCGTGGCGGCAGGCGCGAGGGCGGCGGGGGCGGCGAGCGTCCATGCACGGGCCGAGCGCCTGGCGCGGGGGCGCTAGAGGCGAGGCGGCGAGGCGGCGAGGCGCGATTCGGCTTAGGAGTCGAGGCCGAGGCTGCGTAGGCGGCGAAAGGCAGCGGCGAGGAGGCAGGAGCAGGTTGCGAGGCGGCAGGAGGCGTTGCGGCGAGCAGCGAGCGTCTTGAGGAGAGGCGAAGCGGCTAGGCTTCGTGGCGCGGGGTGCGCGAGCCGGCCTGGTCGCGTGTGCTGCGATGCGGCCTGCGCGGGGGCGCTTGGCGCGAGCAGTCGTGGCGTCAGGCGGCAGAGGCGGCGGAGCGCTAGGAGGCTGGTAGGCGGCTGTGCGGCGAGGTGCATGAGGCGATGCGGCGTGGAGCGAGGTTGCTAGTAGCGATGAGGCGAGGTTGCGAGCAGCAGGGCGCGAGAGGCGGCGATGCGGCTAGGCGGCAAGCGGCGAGAGGCAGGCGGCGATGCGCGAGTCGGCGTTGAGTTGGAGCGAGGCGGCGAGGCGCGGGCGGCAGCGGCAGGAGGTCGATGCGCGAGCGGATAGGCGGCGAGCTGCGTGGCGGCGAGGCGTCGAGGCGGCGAGGCGTGCAGGCGAGAGTAGGCGGCATGGCGCGAGGAGGCGATGCTGCTAGGCGCGAGGCGGCGACGGCGCGGGGTCGCTGGAGCGAGTCGCGTGTCGGCAGGCGCCAGGCGCTGCGCGTGGATGGCCGGTGGCGAGGGCGGCATGGCTGCGAAGGTGGCGTGGCGGCAGCCCTTGGCGCTAGAGGCGGAGGCGGTATGAGGCGCGCCGTCACGCGCGGGGCGCGAGTGGCAGTCGAGTGGCGAGCAGGAGGCTAGTGATGCGAGCGAGAGGCGAGGCGGCAGCGGCGAGGCGAGTGCCGTGAGAGTAGTCGTAGGTGGACTGGCAGATGGTGGCGACTCGCGGGGAGCGAGGTGGCTGGAGCGAGGTGGATGGCGTGTGGCGTGGCGGAGAGGGCGTGCTGGCGGCGTGGAGGCGTGTCAGCGTGGAGAGTGGTGGAGAGGTGAGTTCAGGGGCGGAGTGGCGGCTAGGTGGCGTGGCGCGTATGCGGGTGGTGGCGAGGCGGAGATGGAGGCTTGGGCGATGGCGGCTATATGGCGGAGTGCGCTGAGCTAGGCGGAGTGCGCGTAGGCCGGCGCTGGTAGCGATGGCGCAGAGGCGAGGCTAGGAGGCGTCGCGCGGGGCGGCCTGGAGGCGTGGCGCTTGGCGTGGCGAGAGGAGGCAGGTGGCGAGTGGCGTATTCGCGTAGGTGGCGTAGGCGCCGAGGAGCGAGGAGCATTGGAAGAGGCGGAGATGGTGGAGTGGTGCGAGGTGAGTGGTGAGTGGCCGTGAGGCGTGAGTGTGCGTGGACGGCGAGGTGGCGACGCGCGGGGGCGGCTGGCGGCGTGAGTCGTGGAGCGGGTCGCGATGGAGGATGGGCGCGAGGTGCGATGGAGCCGTGAGGAGATGGCGTCGTGGCGGCAGGCGTGGCGGCGTAGGTTGCGAGAGGCGTGGCGGAGACGGTGGGAGTTGTGTAGTGGCGGCTGGAGGCGTGGGAGCCGTGGCGGAGTATGCGGAGTGGCGCGTGGGCGTAGGCGGCGTGGTGACTGGCTGCGTGGAGGAGACGCTGCAGGTGGCGAGCGGCGATGGAGAGAGGAGCGTGCGGCCGGTGTCGGCGTGAGCTGTGGCCGTGCGCTGGTGACTGCGGCGTGTAGCCGCAGGCGAGGTGCGGCAGGGCGGCGTATGGCTGCGTATTGTGGCTGTGCGAGGTGCGTGGCGCGTGGAGGCGTGGCGGCGAGGTGCGTGGAGCGTGTGCGAGCAGCGTGCGGCGTAGGTGGAGAGAGGCGAGGAGCTGGTGGCGTAGGCGCGTAGGCTTGGTGCGTGGCGCGTGGCGGCGTGGCGCCTAGTGCCGAGGCGCGTGGAGGCGAGGAGTGGCGGCTATTGCGGCGAGGCGGCCGAGCGGAGTGTGGCTTGGCGGCAGAAGCGGAGCGGGCGTAGGCTGCTAGGAGCGGAGCGGCGAGTCGGCATGGCGTGGCGTCGTGTAGCGAGTTGGCGCTGGCGGAGTGTGGCGATGGCGCAGGCGCGAGGTGGCGGGCGGATGAGGCGTGGAGGCTTGGCGCGAGGAGGCGAGGATGCAGGCGGCGTGTGGAGAGCGGCTCCGTGGAGGCGAGGAGCGTGGCGAGTGGAGAGGAGCGTGGCGGAGGCGCGTGGAGGAGAGGCTGCGAGCGGCGATGCGAGGCGGAATGCGGCCGTGGCGGCGAGGCGATTCGGGCAGCGGCGTGGAGCCGAGCGGCTAGAGGCGGCTGAGTCGTGCGGCGAGTCTGCGAGCGGCCGTGGCGGCGAGGTCGGCGAGGCGAGGAGGCGTAGCGACGATGGCGGCGAGGGAGCGAGGCTGCGAGGCGCTATCTAGTGCTGCGATGGCGTCAGGCGTGCGAGGCGGCGATGCGAGCTCGAGGCTGCGAGGCGCGAGCGGCGAGGCCGCGTTGGCGCGTGGCATTGCGATGCGCGTGTACCCTATGATCCCAAGGTGACCCAGCGGCACCTCCATCCCGCGACAGCCTGTAGGCATGTGGGTCCTCAGCCGGAGCCCAGGCCTCCTGAGTGGGAGTGAGGACGGACGCTCCCGAGAGTCTGGCACATGTTCAAGTTGAGAGCCACTGGCGGGGTGTGGGGAGACGGTGGAAGTCAGGGTGCTGGCCAGCTTCCCTCTGGCCCCTCAGGGCTCCTCTTTCCTCTCCATGTCACTCAGTCCTTCTCTCTCTCTGCCTCATGCTGTCACTCTTCCACTTGTCCACGTCGCAGAAATCCTGGCGGTCTGGTAACATCTGCTTCCCAGCACAGGTTCCCCGTCCCCGTGCTCGCGTTTTTTGTTTCCACTGTATGTATGCCTCGGGCCTGCAAACTGGCTGTCACGGCTCCAGCTCTTTCGTCCCGTCAGCTTTGGATCTGGTGGGAAGCAAGGTTCCTCAGCCGCACCCCACCCTGCTGATGCCCTGGGCCTCACCTTCACTGGTTGGGATGGGATCGCAGTGTTCAGGGGCGGGATAGGCTGATGAGCTTGGACCAGTCGGGAGGCTACTCTGCTTCTGAAGGTGGGGTCGACCCCACCCAGCCCTACAAGCTGAAGGGCAAGAGGGTGAGTCCTTAAAGGGGGTTTGGGGAACTGTGTCACTAAACACAATTCAGTCAAGCACTGCTCAGCTCCAGGGCCTGAATCCCTGCGGCCCAGAGAAATTGGGCTCAGAGAAAGTGAGAGTGGAATGTTAATTGTAAAGTCCTGTAGCTGGGACAGCACAAACTGCTGGGATGAGACCCGCTGCTTCTAGGGTCCCCGTGGCCTGCAGCACCGCCCCCAGCAGGCTGCGTGAGAAGGGACTCTGCTGCTCAGAGGGGGAGGGGCCTGACTTGGAATCCCCTGCCCTCAGTCCAGGCAGGCTCACCCGCCCCCATTCTCTTCTCCCTAAAGTGAAGTCTTTTCTACTGTAATCACCACCTCACCTTCTTTTTCTGAGCCCTAAAAGCCACAGCCTGACACCACCCGACTGTGCTAGAAGCCCTGGGAGGAGTCAGCTCTCTGTTCCTGTGTGTGCCTGTACCAGGACATGTTCACGGTGGACCCCAGCAGCACTGGGGCGCAGGGCCTGGGGCCCCAAGACTTCACAAGCACTGGCTCTTGGAGCGAAGACCAGGCCTGCTCCCTGGCCTGGCAGAAGTGGCAGGAAGAATCACCTGTCCCTCCTTGCCTCGGCTGGACTCCTTTGTGTGGCGGCTGCCGGCACAGCTGTGCAGACCTGGGCTCGGAACTGTGGCCCGCACTGGGCCAGAGCCCCTCCCGCTGGTCGTGGGAGGCCAGTTTGGCCCTGGGCAAGCAGTTGGGGTGTGGTTTGGGACTGGACCCCTTCTCCCCCGCCGGCTCTCCCATGGAAGAATGGGAGCCAAAGGCAGCAGCACCAGCTTTTGGGGATCTCAGGTCAAGGGCATCCTAGGGAGGGGTGTTCTAAGAGCCTTGGCCCAGGACACTCAGTCTGAGCCAATCAGGTCAGATTTGTGAGGCTTGGGGTAAGAACTTTGGTCCTGGAGCTGGGTCGGGAACCAGCAGGTCTGGGGGTATCCCGGGGAGGGGATTGCAGCATTTGCCTGTTTTCACAGCATAGACACTCACACCAAGCTAAGGTTCAGGCTACCCACGTGGTCACACAAAGTGGGACTGCGGGGAGTGAGCTGGGTTCCCCCACACTGCCACGTGGGCATGAAGGCAGTTAGGATGCCATCCCTTCCCTTCAGGAACCGCGCAGCTCACTGGGGACCTGGGCATGTGGACAGGTATCATAAGCCAGTTCATTACTCAAGAGGAGCAGGCTCAGCTCTGTGTGGGGCGGGGGCGTGGGGTGGGCACTCCGTGCAGGCAGAGGCTGGGAGGCAGCTGTGGAGTGTCCCAGGCTGAGGCTGGCCAGGGGCACAGTCCACACGTTGGAGCGGTGGAGTGCCCCTTTGAGCCACAGGCCCTCACCCCACCTGTCGTCTCCTCCTCAGAATCTCCCCAGCCAGCTGCTCGTCCGAATGGTTCAGGAGCGTCTGGAAGAGGAGGACTGTGTCCGGAGGGTAAGGCTCCCGTGTGACGTGGGAAGACAAAGGGGAGGAAGGAGGGATGTGACCAGAGGGGACAGCAGACAAACAGGTCTGAAGGTCAGTCTGGGGCCATGGGCTAAGCAGAGCCCAGCACGGTCACCCCCGGCATCGTGGGAGCGTGTCCTGTAGAAGTGACGTGGAGTGCAGGTGGCACAGAACGCACAAGGATGGGCAGTGGAAAGGCTGGTGTAAGCGCCTACCCTAGCACCATGAGGTCCCCGGGACAGATGTGCAGGGTACAGTGGGCTTGCCAAGGGTGCCACAAACTCTCATCTCCAGGTGGTGGTGGGCAACTTCCTGGGGCACAGAGGGCAGGTAGAGGGTGGGGTGGACAGTACAGAGTGCCTATCAGCCAGGCCCTGACTGGGGAGTACCTCGCCCAGTTGTCCCTGGCTTGGCCCTGCTACTTCCCACATCCTACCTTTGTGTCGGCATCCATCCCACCGGGCCTCGTTCAAGCGCCCGTGAACGATCGAAGTGGGCGGTGAATTCTATTGGCCCAGAGATCCGCCATTTCTGCTGCCCCCACTTCCTGCCTGCCCTGTCCAGCAGGCCTCTGCGTCTGAGGAACTCCTGGTGGCAGTTTCCGGGACAGTTCTGCAGGCAGTATGTCCTCTTGCTTCTCTTTCCACTCACATCGTCGCTGTTTTGCCTGCGTGCCCACAGGACATGTTTTCTCCCCTGAATTGAGAGTTCTGGGTTGGAACTCCTGGAGAGGTGGATGGGACTTGGGGTGCGCCCTGCGGGTCCTGAGGCCTCCCTCCCCCTCCTCTCTGCCGAGCCCATGCCATCAAGTCTGTCACGTGGCTGCTCTCTCTGCTCTGCTCCACTATGGGGTCCCATCGTTGTGTTTCTCAGTCCTAAAAATTCAGCTTGGCTTTTTGTTCTGACTTCTGATTCTAAGCTGAGACATTTATTTGTTAAAAAAGCAGAGATGGAGGGTGCTTACCCCAGGGGCCTGCACACACTGGCAGTTGAGGCTGGGAGCTGGGCGCTCGGTCCAGCTCTCTCACCTGGGCAGCTGAACCCAGCTTTTGAGCTGTCCCCATTGCTTTCCAGGACCGCTAGAATCAGGGGTCGAAGCTGAGAATCAGAGCTTGTCCGGGTTGCTGGCTTAACTCCTATGTTTCCCCTAATTTCCTGGTTAGAATTTTGTTTGTTTTCAAGATTTATTTATTTTCATTGGAAGGGCAGGTTTACAGAGAGAAGGAGAGAAAGAAAGATCTCCTCTCCCTGGTTCACTCCCGAAATGACTGCAATGGCCAGAGCTGAGCCGATTTGAAGCCAGGAACCAGGAGCTTCTTCCGGGTATCCCATGCGGGTGCAGGGTCCCAATACTTTGGGCCATCCTCGACTGCTTTCCCAGGCCTCAGCCAGGGAGTTGGACGGGAAGTGGAGCAGCTAGGATATAAATCAGCTCCCGTATGGGATCCCAGCACTTGGAGGTGGGAGATGAGCCAGTTGAGCCATTGTGCCAGCCCCTGCAGAGCCATTTTTGGATATTAACAGTAGCGACAGGAGATGCTGTGTCTTGTTTTAAACCCAGTGGTGAGAGGCAGGGGTTTAGCCCAGCAGTTAAGATCCATGTACCCCATCAAAGTACTCAAGTTCAAGGTCTGACCACAGCTCTGGCTGCAGGCCCTGGGAGACAGCATGCTGGCTGCAGTGGTGGGAGTCCTCCTGCCTGTGTGGGAACTGGCACAGAGGAGCTCAAGGCCTTCCCCTGCGGAGAGGCAGACAGCAGACACGTGGGCTCAAGTCCACTGGAGATGGGCTCAGAGCAGCACGGCAGGAGGCGCCCTGGGCCCTGCACGAGGGGTGGGGCCTATGTGCAGCTCTCTCCACGTCCCTAACTGTTGGATGAGGCCCCGTGGCAGGCAGTGCCGGGCACCCACGATTGGTGATGCTGGACTGAGTGGCACTGACCTCGGGGGTGCTGGCCTTGCTGGACGTCACTGTTCCTCCCCTCCCCCGCCAAGCGCATGAAGCAATGGGAGTCACGTTTCCAGGCTACTATATCCCGACTTGAATGTCTCTGGCATGTAAGCTCAGCCCGGGACCCTGGACTGTCTGGTCTCAGGGGGGTTAGTGAGTTGTCACCTTTGCACCCCGTGGTCCGAGAGCACCTGTGCGGAGATGCCACATGGCCTGGGCATAGGAGCCAGGGCCGCTTTGGCTATACACTCTTAGGCGACAGTTTTGGGGGAAATATGGTGATTCTAGGACATTCAAACATGCATTTTAACATCTATGAACCCTTTATTTTCTTAAGATTATTTTTTGAAAGGCAGAGAAAGATCTCTCATCCATTGGTTCAGTCCCAACGTGACTATAACGGCTATGGCTGGGCCAAGCCAGCATCAGGAGCCAGGAACTCCATCTGGACTGCCCACGTGGGTGACAGGGGTTCAAGCACGTGGGCTGCCCTCTGCGGCCTTCCCAGGAACACTAGCAGGGAGTCGGTCAGAAGTGGAGCAGCCAGGATCTGAACCAGCTCTCCAATGTGGAATGCAGGCATCTTCAGCAGTGGCTTAATCCACTTCACCACAACACCAGATGTGTACAAGCCTTCTTAGCCTGTTGAGAGCCTCTTTCTGTACCGCTCTCCTCATAGTGCGCCTGCAGTGCGTGTGAGGCACCAGGTGTCACCAGCCCTGGCCAGCAGCTCTGCCGCCATCATCGCCATGTCGGGATGGTGACCCTGATGGTCACTCTGATGATGGTGGCACTTTATTGGTCCCATGCCACCGCAGGTGTACCTCGCACTGTGTGAAGAGGCTGTCATTACTCTACTGTGGGTGTCTCCCGACTGGACTGGAAGCATAGCACACCCCGGGACCGAGGGCCATGCCCAGCGCCTGCATGAGTGTTGACGGCCACCCTGTGAGGCAGTGGCGTAAGCTAGGATGCGCCCAGCTTGTTTGTCTTGCCGAACATCCACAGCAAGTTCCCGAATCCAGAAGAAACCTGGCCTCATGCTTGCAGCCCCTGTTTCCTTTTCAAAGGTCATGTCCTGTGGCAGGAGGGCGGGCTGAGGTGAGGCCCTCCCTGCCCTTGCCCTCCAGCCCTCTGTGGCTCGGCTCTGTGAGAGCCGGGGCTGGGTGTGAGCGCTGCAGCGGCCTCCCAACCTCCCCGTTCTGTGATTCCACGCAAGTCTGAGCCATCATTACCTGCAGAGAGCAGAATTATCTCCTCTGATTTGTTTTAAAATTCTTCTAACCTTCAAGGGGCATCCAGTGCCTTTTTCGTCTCTTCCCGGTGGAGACAGGATTTCAAGAGTGAGAGGTTAGGCTTCTAATTATGGGCTTTGGTTGTTTCAAAAACAAAACAGACCTTCATCCAAAGTAAACGGGCTTTCTTGCTTTTAGGGAAAAAAGTGACACATATGCATATTCATTTATATGGTAATTATTATTATTTGGCTACACAGGGACTGGCATTGATAACACAGAGCACGTTGGGAAGGCGGGGGAAGGGGGTAGTGGGGGGTGGCATGCCATCAGAGCCCATCGGGGTCCCGTGGTTAGAGTGCGCTTTTGTTTTTTTTCTTGTTTTCCTGTCTCATACAATCTCTGTGAAGAATGTTTTGAGGTGACCATCAAATGCATCTGAGACTTTGTCTCTCCTGGCAGCCCGGGGAGTGGCTGCTCCTGCTGGGGGCCGCGGGAGCCCCTCCTCAGGAAGCCCTGGCTTCCTCCCCTCCCACCCCCAGGCACAGGAGGGCTGAGAAATGAGGTGGTGGGCTCTGGAGGCTGGGGCGGGGGAGGCCCGGCGTGTGGAGACCCTCGTGGGAGGCCCCTTCTTCTGTCTGGGCTCCAACGCAAGGCCCTGTGCTCTGACTCCCTCCCTCTGTCTTTGCACCTGTCAGGTGCATGCTTGCTTGCTTTTGCTTTGCTATTCGGGTTACTGTTATTATTATCACTATAAAAAGTTGAATAGTTTTTAAGCACGAGTTTCTATTTTTCTTTTTCTTTTTGATGATGTTTACATAGCTGATCAGGGTGGGAAGCGTCGAGGATCAGGGGAAAGTGGGCAAAACCATTGTTTACACATATTTTTCCTCTTCCTGTATCTGGGGGAGGGAGGATAGAAGGGAAGAAACACGCCCAGCCCCCCAACTGCCTCAGCAGCCCGGGATGGGGAACGGCCACCCGATGGCGTCCCAGGGTCCCCGTTGTGGAGCCTGTCCCTAGGGTTCTGCTCAAGTGGTTTCGATAGTTCTGAGATGCTGTTGATAGCGCCACTCCAAGGATGAGGAAATCTTTCCAAGGTCAACTGGCTGACATAGCCCACCTTACAGTATCCATTCACCCAGGAATTTGCTGTCAAGCTTCACTAGGGTAATTGAAAAATTTGATCTGCCTTCTTTCCACTGCAACCCAATGGGTGCTGCGGCCCTGCCCGCCCTGCCTGCCCTGCCCGCCTTGCCCACTGCACAGTTGGGCCTCACATACACCAGGCAGAGCTGCAGCCCAGTCAGTGTGACCCCCCAGCTCTGGTTCCTATGCCTGCCAGCATGTTCAGTGGACTTTCAAGTCTGTCCCATAACCCATTCAGATCTTGTATACATCATTGGGCACTGAAGCTCAACCCAACCAGGCCCACACTCATGCCAGCAGGCACCCTTGCCTCTCTAGCCAGGCCTGTCCCCAGTCCTGGTTCTCATGCTCACCAGTGGGAGTTGCAGCCCATCAGAGAGGTTCCCAGAGCTTCCCCAATGGGCACTTGTATCCGGATCTTGCACTCTCCAGGTGGTTCTGCAGTCTAGCTTGACAGGACTTGTCCCTAGTCCCAACCCTTACCAGCTCATGCTGCAGCAAAGCCCAAACCACCTGACCTTACACTGGCTCAAGGCATATATTTCTTTCCTGACTTCCCCACATCCATTCATGAGGTGTCAAGTTCAGTAGGCAGCGGAATGTCCACTGCTTGCTGGCCTTCACTGGAGGCTAAGGTGGCCAACATGGAAACTT